TGGCAAGTGTGTTAGGATTCCTAGAGTGGTTTATGTTTAGAATTAGTCGTACTGATAGGACAGGAAATTGGTTGGGTGGGACAGTGGTTAAAGGGGTTCTGTCTAAAAGTTTAGATCTGAAAGATGTGCTACCATAATGTTGCTGTTCATTGAGGAATGTCTTCTAAATGTCAAACTTCATTTTGAATGACCCACTAATCTAGCATGTGGGAAATTAACTCCTTAGCCATCGTTTTGATGTAGTTTCTGCTAAAAAAGAAAAGAAAAGAAAAGAAAAGAAAAATGTAATGAAAAAAAGCATGAGCTTTTAAAGTCTGATTTAGGCCACACTTCTAGCAATGCTGCTTACTAGCTATGTGACCTGTGGCAGATTCTTTAAAAATCCTCAATCTCCATTTTCCTATCCACAAAATGTAGAAGATAAAATGTTATGAAGAGATACAGAAAATTAATAATCAATGTATATAAAATATGTAGCTGTAGCAAATATATATATTAGTTCATTCCTTGAATCAGAACTTGTATATTTCTTACAATATTTGCAATTGCTGGTTGTCTTACAAGGATAAATGAGAGGTCTGAGAGCTGCATATTCCCATTGTGTAGCCATTTGTGGGTAGTACAGATTTTCCTGTAAAAACTATTGATTTCAGGTTAAAGGATGATAAACAATAATATAAACAAAAATATTAATATTTTATTCACTTATCCTTGATTACTATCAATAGTTAAGAAATTTGGGGAAGATGATCTTTAATCTTTCATCACCATAGTTTCCTCTTGTGGCATTTCCTAATTCCATGTGTGTTTTTATTTTACATCAAACATATCTTGTTTACTAAAAATGGGTAGAACTCAGGCTCTATGGTACATAGATGATACTATGATTGATAATAGTGATAGACAAGTTTGGAAATGATAGAGAAAGTCAAATACTGGGACCAACTTGAGTGAATGAAGGACATCAAAGATTACATTGCTTGAGGATGCTCTCCTTTTAAGTAAACACTTTTGCCTTGGAGATACTGAATTGAACAATAACAACAGCAAAAATGCAGATATTCCTAGTGGAGATGGGCAGGGAATGTGAATAGAGAAAAGTCTTGAAAAGGTGATGACAAATATGTGGAGTTGAATATCATCATCTTAAGTGTGAGCCTTGGTCAAAGGGCTAAAGATAGGATGAAAGAMAGGAAGAGAAACAAGAGAACAAATCGAGTTTGCTATTCCCTTCAGCACTGAGGTAGCAATGCACATTCAGAATATACCCAGGCCGTATGAAATATAGTATACTATATGCATCATCGAATATATATTTCATACGGCCTGGGTATATTTGAATGTGTATTGGTAATAGGTATATGATATTTATGTGTGCAATAGTATGTATGTGATGATACATGTGAAACCAAATATACACTAAACATTTCATAAGGAACATTTTATGAACCATAGCTTTTCTTCCCAGATGGCAATAATAGCCAAAGTCCCTGGAGTATTTGGCTTATTGGGAAACAGGACTTATGCTTCTAGATAATAGACTGGTTCCTGGCAGATCCTTGGCTGAACAAGGGATTTGGAGCCTTTGGATTGCACAGGAGTTTCTTTATGAATGTCCTGCTTCACACTCGGGGCAGTGGGTCTTGTAGAAAATGACATTCCAGCACAGGCCCCAGATATTCATACTGATACTCTGTACTACCTGAGAGAGAAAGGGAGAGAGAGCAAGTAAGATTTCCTCCCAGAAGTTCTAAGGTTAATGGTGTGCCCTGTCTTTTCTAGTAGCACATGTGTCTTTGCCACTATGTCTCTGGGGCACTGAACAAAACACATAGTCTATTTAAGGTGTTATTTTGCTTTTGCTGTATTCTAAGTTAATCTTAGGGTCTAAATTATATATATATATATATAATTATATATATATACATATATATTATATATATTATATATATATAATATATATATGAATATGATGTTTCCTTGATAAATCATTAGCATAGGCTTTGTTATTTGGGGATTTTTCAGGCTTCTATTTGTTTATTTCCTGGCTCTGATTCTGATCTTTTATATTCCATGTTCTTTATTGTTGTTTGCCCTATTTCTCTCCTTCATGTCAAAGATAAGCAATTTTACCAAGTTCTCTCTTTCGTCCACGAAGGAAGCCTGTCTTCAGTTGTGCTTTGGCTTTTGTCCCCTTGCTTCCTTCTGGGGAGGTGCATACCAGCAGCCTAAGTCAGTACCTGAGCTGTATCATTCCCCCAGAGCCTCATGATTCTGTCCTACCTCATCTTCACTCCAGTAACTCTAGGATATTCCATGGAATCAATCATCTACAGTGTATTTTGAGCAGGAGGTGATCTTGCATGGCCTATTGGAGCCTTGGGGAGAAGAGAGGACTGGAGGACACAGCTGGGAGGGACTTGGTTGCCTGGCTGTTCTAGTTCCTCTTGTACAGGAAAGGCCATTGAGTGAGATGTCATTCAGCAAACTGATGTGTAAYTGAATCTAACAGCCAAATGTTAGGGGAAAGCCTGAGGGTTGGGGAAAATATGAACTAAGTTTGGATTTTCACCAATGGGTAGCATATTATATTTGTGCTTTAATAAATTGGGTTTGATCTCAGTGTGGCAAACAGACTGAAGAAGGAGCCACTGAAGGCAGGATAACTGGCCAATTAGAGAAAAATGAGGAGGCCTAAACTAGAGTACAGGGATTCTGGGTGGAGACAAGTAGATTGGAGATATTTAGGATATAGAAGCTAAGGTTTTAGGACGGACCAAAATTGGGATAAAGAGAAAGAGGAATTTGATCCAGGTTTCTGATTGTGATGAAGCAGAGAACTGTGAGAAGATGGAGATAGTGGCATCTGAGCATGAACTCAAATATATAACCAAGGAAAAACCTTTCTGCTGGATTAAGCAAATGTAGCTCACAGAGTGGCCGAGTTTTCCAGTGATCTTATTTGACATAAGAACAGAATTTAGAATACCTGGTGGAGCAGTTGATGGCATATCACTTCCTTTCCTTCAGTCAGACTTTGATAAAACGAGCAAATTGATAGATGCTGGAACATTGTTTTCTACTACCGTTGTCCTGAATGAGATGTGGACCTGCAAAGTCAGCTGTACTCCTAGGGTTATAATATCCCTGAGCATTCCTGTGGCTCCTTGTATCTCCTTGAAATATGTTCTGTTAGTTAATGGAATGAAGTTAATAATACTTCAGATTTAATTCTGTTCTTTTTTTTTTTCATTCTGATTTGTTATATATGACAGCGGAATGCATTACAATTCACATTACACATGTAGAGCACAATTTTTCATATCTCTGGTTGTACACAAAGTATATTCACACTATTCATGTCTTCATACATGTACTTAAGGTAGTGATGTCCATCTCATTCCACTGTCTTTCCTACCCCCACACCCCCTTCCTTCTCCTCCCACCCTTTGCCCTATCTGGAGTTCACCTAATCCTCCCATGCTTTTCTTGGTAGGCAGCTAAGCTACTTCATCACCTGTTTATTCCTCATTAAATTGTAGTTAAGCATATAATCTCTGGAATCAAACAGAACTGTTCTCAAAGCTGAGCTCTGCCACTTATCAGCTATATTATCTTGGGCCTTGACTCTTAAATAATTCCTCATCAGTAAAATGGTGATGATTGTGTACATATCATCTAGAGCTGACAAATTTGGTCAGATAGTGCATAAAAAGCATTTAGTATAGTTTTGGGTCCATAATAAATAATTAGTAAACTGTACTTTCATTTGGTATTCTTTAGTTATATGCCTACAGGTTGACTACATAAAATTTATTGATTTCTTTTGTATAGACKGAAGTTAGTAACCAGTGGCATGTTTTCATGTGCTTGTAGCAGTTGTTGTTATAACATACTTAGTGCCTTAAAATTTAAATAGCTACCTGTTTATTTTTGATGAACCAAGACATCTGGGAATGTTTAATAATTTCTATGTGATTTTAAAAAAATATGTGTTGTAAAAATAGTTTCTGAACAAATGAGTCAACATTGTTTTGGCTCAACATTGGTTTTTTTTTTAATTTAGATATGAAGGGAAGGATGAAATTATTCATTTCACAGAGGAATGTGCAAAAATTCAAAAACATTTTGAGGACTCATTTCAGATGTTATTTTTAGCTACCTRTTTGATACTGAAATTAGGATAGAAAATTAGGCATCATGTTTTATCATTGAGTTCTCACATCTTTTTTCAAAATTACATTAATATATGCATATTCAATATGAATTTTCAGAAGTACATGAGAAATAATATTTTATTTCTAATTAGATTTCCCCCACACACAGGATTGTAATGGTTTGTGAAATTGTGTGAGATTCAACGTTTCATGCCAGTCTTCTTGTCCCCGTTTTCTCTGCCAAAATATGTTTGATATTCTAAAACCTAGATTGATATTTCCAGTGATCATTAGCCTTTACTTATATGTGAAGTCTAAAAGTGCAGAAATTTCTTGTTTAGCCTGAACCTTCATCTGCTGTGGTAGGGATCCTTTATTTCATACTGAATACGAGCATAGCCCTCGAGAGTTTTATATGACATCATACACATTCAGTAATCTTCTGGTACATACCTTTCTCTTGAGTAGAAGCTTCTTGGTTTGTTCATTCTTATCCATACCTACAGATGATTTCAGTGTATGCTGAACTAAGAATCAGAAGAAAGTTGTAGTTCTGACTGTGTAAACTGGAATAAGTCTCTTTGTCCTCTCTGGGTAATTAAAGAGTTTGTCCTCTGTGCAGAGTATTGTGAAGATTAAATGAGATGAAGTAAGTGAAAAYACTTTGAATAACCAAGCATAATCCAGATAAAAAAATGATTGCATGTTTCTCATTCAGTTAATAAAGAAATGCGAATATATGTCAGAGTAAGATTTTGCTTAGAGTAAATGACTGCATTGGTTGCAGACAAACTAAAGAAATAACTTGCGCATCTTTATATTTTGGATTTTTTTACCAACCAGAACCGGGACCAGTATTCACATCTGCTAAGTGATCATTTTCTGCCATATCAAGGTCATAATTCCTTCCGTGAGAAATATTTCAGTGGAGTAACAAAAAGAATTATTAAGGAAGAAAAATCCAACCAGGAATGAAAATTAAGATTCTGACAATGAAGAAAGATTAAATATTTGACAGAAAAGACGTCTGGAAGTGAACTTTCGTGTACAATCCAGAAAACATGTACTGTTTTAAGGTGGTTATTATTATTTTGTATAAAAATGCTTTGAAGCAAATCAAGCAGTTTAAAAATTGTCTTTGTATTTTAGACTATTCTGTTTTATGAGGTCTTTTGAACCTTATTTGACTTGTATTTGTACTTTCAAGTACTAATGGAGATTGACTCAACAGTTAGTTTTTTACAGTTAATTTACAAAGAAAATTAATATTGTTGAATTTTTTAAACATATTTGCCAGATATGTTATAGGCAATTAATAGTGCTTAAGATTTATTCATTTGGAAAATCTGTTTAGTTTGGTTTTTAATTGTAATTGATTTACATTGCTACCAATAAACTGTATTGATAATTTCTAAAGTCAAAAAGTGTTCAGTGCTTTTTAGGAGGGAAATGAATTTTTACTGACAAAATCCACAAGAACAGCTAGACCTGACAACCTAACAAGGTTCCAAAGCATTAAGGCCTTGAACATCTGAAGCTCGTCTGTACCTTGGATTTGCTCCTGCATTCCTAAATCTTGACTGTCGGTCAAGTTAACTACCCTCAATTTTTGGTTTAGAAAGTAACTGATGGTTAAAAGCAGTAACAACAACACAAATCCTTGATGGTTCCCTAATGGTATTAAGCCTAATCAGTGCTCTTTGAAATAGAAGCTATATTTTTCTTGAAGGAGAAACTTTGCTGAGTCCACATTGTGTCCATCATGGAAATATCTTGTTTGAAAACCACTATACCCATTAATTCAGGATGCTAATAGCTTTCCTGCCTTTGGTGGTCAAATGTACCTCAGCAGGGCAGTAGTAAACGGATCCCCTCTCTMTAACCAGAGCCTATTTTTATTTATGTTATTATTATTATTTTAGTGTTACTGCTGACTTTTATGAACTCACAATATTCACTTACATGGCTTAGGAGCTCAAAAAACCAGTGCTGTCCAAGCAGAGAGCGAGGGTAGGCTATCTTCTTCATACTACTTTTCTCGTCTCACAGCTCTGGATTTCAGCTGCAGATCTCAAACATTTCAGTGATTGTTTTGTTTGGGTTTCTGGATGTGATTTGTGGCCAATGGGGAAAATGTAAAACTATTTGAGGATGATTTATTTTCAGAATTTCTGTTATAAACCATCTTATTTAAAATTTTTTGAGGTTATATGGGGGGTAAGTATGAAATTTTGTAGCTGACTCAATTGGAATATGAGATTTTAGCTTAGCCCTTTTTTTTGGATTGTCAAAAAGTTAGTCCAACTAGTTCTGGAAATTTGCAACATTAATTTTAGTCACTTTGTTCTTAAAAATTATCTGTGTTATAACACATTTTAAAAAGTAAAAAATAAATTATACTAATTGAGGTCTTCAATTAGTAATTGAAGTAAACTTCTTCCTATTGTGAGGCTTAGTTTCATATCAGTAAGTTCAGTTTCACTTAACTGAAATGTTAATAGACTCAGTAAAAATTTGTGGAATTATTTTTAAAGTTGATATTTAGAAATGAAGAAAAAAAAAAACCACCACGATCACTTTCAACCAATTCTGATTTTATTGTATAGATCTCAAGTTCTCTCATTCTAAAAAGAGAGACTTTCTTTTCTGGCATCAGGATCTTAATACTTTCTACATAATTTACAGGAGTTCATTCCCAGGATTGCTTTAGTTTTATGTGTGACCACTGTATTCCTCCTCATGCACTTAATAGCAGGAATATCACCTCGCAAGATGGCTGCATTTCAGATAGCCCTGCATTGTGAATTTACAGTATAATCTGGGGAAAAAGCCTAGGTGGTCTGTGGACTGGCCTATTTAATGTTTATAATATGACAAAATGTATAATTTTGTTTCTGGAATATATTAAATGGCCATAAAATCCAGACAGTTACCTTGGTGGTGTTTCATCAGAAGGGCCTCCTTCCTGTCCATTCTGGTGAGTACTTTTCTTGCTGTGAGAGCTGGGAGGGAATAGTAGAGTAGGTGGTCTTGGGTATGTTTAGCCAAAGTGGCCAACTAATTTTAAATAAGTTTAAAATCTGCTAAAATTTTCTCAGCCACTTCCTGCCCAGGGTGACCCAGCTTTGAGTTAATTCACTACCACCAACTCTCTTATGACTAACTCTTTAAGCATTGAGCAATGTCGAACAGTTTAAGCTCTGGGAGATTAGTTGATGTTGCCACTATTTCAATTTTGAGAATATTCATTCATATATTGAGATCCCCTATCTTATTTGGAAAAATGGTAATTAATACTAAAAAGACTTGCTTCAGGTTTGGTAAAGGAAATAGATTATGAGTTARCATCACTATATGGATTATACTGTGTGTGTTTATTTGGGTAGAAAATGTGCTGTGAAAGTTTGGCATGTGAAAATAGCTTTTAAGGTGTTTTATATTCACTGTAGATTAAAGAAGCAAGTGTTTGACCTTTTTAACATCAGGAAATGAGATGTTAAGGTGTGTTACCTCAATGCCAGTATAAGCAAATCTGTCTCTTGGGTAAAAGGCCATAGTCCTTTGGTGTTAGAACTACTGAATCTTATTCTGGAAATACTATGAAGCATTTTTTTTTAACCCAGAGTTATGGAATAAAGCACAATATTTCATTATTGAAAATGAAGYTTTTGTTTGTTTGTTGAAAATGATCTTTCTATCCCTTTTAAATAAATCTCCCTTGAAAAAGCACAGTGGAACTAACCTGATGTTAATAGTTCTAGGGAAAAAAGAAAAAAAGAAGTCCTTTGTAGATAAAGCAGGACATAAATAAATAAATTCATTCATGTAGCACAGGGGTGGAAATGGCAGTGGGTGCTGCCAAGGAAATTGAGGACCTTATTGTTGATCTCTGACCAAAAGAGAATAAATTATACCAAAATAAGAATCTTGGCTCTTTTTTTTTTTTTTGCAAGAATATGATATTGTTTTGTTATAAACTATTTAGAAAACCAAACACTTGCAGGGGTCTTTTTTCTTAGAAGGATTGGAATGATAGAATAAGTGAAGCTTACTTTCATTTCCAACTCACCCATTCCCATTTTTCTCAGATATTTATCAAGTAATGTGGTTTGTAATCTAAACAAAAAAAGTGCCTTAATCCAGGACATACACATGGACACAATAACACTAGACTGATGGTGTTTGTACTTTACTAAAACATTTGAGATCTTCTCTAAAACAGAGTGGTTTGAGAACATACAGTCTAAGGGTGTAAGGAATTATAATGGAATGATAAACATATCTGTGATTCTATCTTACCATAGAATCAGAAAGACAGCACATTCCTGTTTATCCTTTGAGGTGAAAAAACTTTCTAGGGAACCTGACCCTGTTCCTTTAAAAGAGGTCTGCTTCAGGATGTTCATATGTCTCACTGTGTGGGAAAACACGTTGACATTTAGACATAATTGAGGCCAACCTGGAATTTGGCTCTTATCCCTTTCTTCRTAGGCCGTTGTAGACAGGCTCTTAGGAGGATGGAGGTTTAATTGTCATGGCAGTCTGTTAAGAAGCCTGGGTCATGGAACAAAATGGGGCTTAATAGATGAATGTTAAGATAAGCCAGCTTCCCTTACATAACTGCAGTCCTATTTCTTGGGTTATTAAGATGCGCTTAGTATATTTTTGTTCTAGAATTTGAAAGTTCTTACTAAGATAATCATGTTGTTGTCATGCCAAACTGAATTGCCTCAGAAGAAATCTACTTTGACATTTTAATCTATGACTTTAAAATCTCCCCTTTAATCAAGCCTCCCTGACTCTCCTGAGGRTTTATCAGAAGAACTCTGTTTTGGCTAACATCCAGCAGTGAAGATTAGCTGGACTTATGTGTGAAGTTAGTCGAATTTAAAAAAAGAAAGAAGAGCAGACTTGAGTAATTTTATCTAATGAAGTTGGCGAAGTGGGTTGAGATGGTTAAACTTGGTATTTGGTAAGCTCTAAAAATCTGTAAGAGTTCTGTAATATTTTCGTGTAAGTCGTAAACTCAAGTATTTCACCATAAGTCTGAGAGCTTTCAGTACAAACAGCAAAATTTTGTTGTTTTTGTTTGCATTTTCTACAGTGTAAACCTGTGGAGAAGCAAGTCTCTGCAGATCTCTTGCATTTCTATATGTCTTTTTAAGTGAGAAACTGTAGCCCCTGTGTCTTAGACTGTCCTACTCAGGATGTTTTGGTTTTGTTTTTGTTTTTTGGGGGGTCCCGAATTTTGAACTCAGGGGCACTAACCACTAACCCACATCCCCAGGCCTATTTTGTATTTTATTTAGAGGCAGGGTCTCACTCAGTTGCTTAGTGTCTAGCTGTTGCTGAGGCTGGCTTTGAACTCGAGATCCTCCTGTCTCAGCCTCTGGGATTACAGGAGTGTGCCACCGCCTGGCCTCAGGATGTTTTTATAGTGAGCAAGCTGTCTTGGAAGAGAGTATCTTCCTTTCTCCTACCCCGCCTCCCCCAGCAGAGGTTGTGTGCATACAATCTCCAGAGTAAAAGGTGTGCTTACTGGTCATTGATAAAAGAGATTTGAGTTCTCTAAGCTCAAGGTTTCTCCCTTGTATGAAACCTGTCACATGTGTGGGCACCCATCTGAGCCTATCTAGGGCACTCCTCTGGGTGTTGGGTGTTAGGAAGAACTGGTGAAATTATGCTGATAATCATGCTGCTTGTTGTGTCATTAGTGCTATAATGCTTTGTGTGAGTCTCATGCCTTCTATGGGTGCCCTTGAAACTGGCAGATCAATTTGTTAGCTTGTATTAGAGCGAAATCTCAAACACTTCTCTCTTGGCAGTTTTGATAATTAGGAGAGGATGCTGACTGAGATAGGACTCTCTGGGAGCAGATGAAGACTCTGGACCATTAACAGCATTTAAAGAAAGATCATAGGAATTGCTCGMAAACATGTTGACCAAATTTCAGGGTCAACCTGATTTTACATGGTCCTCAACCTTATTGCCTGCTAATAAATAATTGGGGCCATGATTAYATTCCAAATATCAGAAAGAAGGTTTTAGAGACCCAAATGGCCTCTGGGTGTTGCTGTTTTTTTCTGATTGGGATGGGTTGGGGATGAGAATTTCCTTTTTAATCTACTGGTTAGCTCCARGTCCATCCACAGGAACAGTTAGTACTGAGAATCTTGAGTAAGCAGAAAGTTCTGCCTTATTTTATATAATAGTAACAGGGACACAAACTTACAGTAAGACCAGAAGAAGGAAATTCACAACCCCTGTAGGCAGAAACTTAGTGAATGGTAGAGCTTAGGCCATCTTGCTAGGG